CTAAGAGCGGACAGCATGAAGACGGCGAGGGTGGGCAGTGCAACAGACGACGAAGTCATCCCTTCGGAGTAGACGCGCACTCCTGCAAAGCTATACGTTACTTGGCTAATTTTAGCCCCGTACTTGGACGGAAGCAGTAATGGCCGACGGGTCCTTCACCGTATTGCATTGTTTCCTGCAGTGGAAGTCGTTTGAGGGCTCAATTTGGCTCGCCGCCAATTTGTGGTCTTACTGATTGAAATGGCCCACGGCCGACTCAACTCGATTAGGAGAAGAGATAGACCATGACTTCAGGCTATTTACGCCGTCACCCCATTGTATGTGCAGTGGTATGCTCATGGAGTCGCGCACCTCCCCAGGGTCCTTCATGGACTCTCCTTCTAGAAGAACTAGTTACTTACCGGGTTGTTGTCGCTTGACGCTGTATCGAAGCAGAGGTCCGGTGACGGAATTCTCGGAATAGGGATCGCTGCGAAGCTCCAACAACAGCCAATTCGCCTTAGATCGCAGTTCCGTCACATTCAGTGAGCCGTCACACGGCAATCTGCAAAACATCCGTTGGATTCAATCACATCCCAACTATGGACTTGCCGAATCCGACTAAGTCTTCCGAAAAGTTCTTTTATTAGCACGGTTTGAAAAATGCCGATTCAAAGCGATATACTCCTCAACACCTTCTCGATAGTTTGGAACAACACTTAGTCATTAATAAGTTTGCCGCGTACTGAACTACCAGAATATCCCTCATGGGAAAAGTTTATTTCTAGGATTTACTTATTTGGTGACTCTCATTCAAGGTACAAATATGAAGGAAGGATAAGTGGGGAGGAGGGGTTCTGCCACAAACATTGGCACTTTTTGTGATTGGAAGTTGTAATATTAAGATCTTTTGAGGGAAAGATATGTCTTCATTTGAATTCTCCGAGCGATACTGTCATATCCTCTAATCGCCTATCTCAATCGTAATCGCAAGAACTACTTTCTACCGCGACTTAAAGAGAATGAAGGATTGAGCAAGCAATCGTTTCCACTGAAAAAAAGTTTCTAGGTAAATCAATAAAGTAAAGCAATCAAACACGCATTCTCTCTTGCATGTCAGTACTTTACTGATAAAGTATCTTCTCGTTTTTTAGTAACGATTGCTTTTAAAAAGAATTGAAATCAATTATGAAGCAACAACAACTAGAAGGCATTTATAAAATGCTTCATTTTGCTAGTGAAGACCTATCTGGTTCTTAATAGCGAGTTGTTTTTAGAGAGTTGTTTTCGTTGATAATGCTGGTTTAGAAAATTTTTAAGTACTCAGTAATTCTACTTATCAATCAGAGCATCATTGGAGAAAGTTGTGTGTTAGTAGGGAAAAGGTAGTAAATTAGATGTGGCATT